AGCCCTGCAAAGTTGAATATAGCAGTATTGTGCATAAATGACCTTTGTGCCGAATATGAATGCTCTGGATCACAGCCTGAAATGCCAGTCCCATTAAAATCAATTGGATTTGCTTCTGACTAACAATGTTAAGGACTGGGAAGCAAGTGTGTAGTGGATTGTGTTGACATAATCCCATAATCATAGCCTGGAGCTATGCCTGCTGTTTAACAGAAAGTAATGCATAACATAATTAGAAAAGAGTTGGTAAAAATGACAATAGAATAGTTTATTCAGAAACACATCCTGTTGTGTTCAAAGGATTTAACTCTCATGTAAGTGTGCACAGCTATGAACTAAAAAGTGTTGATTTTCAGATTATAGAAAGTAAGAAGCACATATACACCCATTTCTCTTGGAATTTAAAGCTCTAATTACCTTATCAGCATCATCAGCATAGGCAGAAAGTCCTGGTTGCAGCGCTTTAAATGTGGTGTGGATTAGTTTAGGAATTTCTGTTAAAATACAAATGTTAATACAATAAAATATAGTTTGGCCCAATACACTATATTTCAGTTTCCAAATTTAAAAACAGAAGAAAACAAAGCAGTCTAATCAAGGAATTACAGTGGAACTCTGCTGTATAATACAGTGGCTGAAATCAGTTTGCATAGGTTTCCCTACATCATCTTCATCACCAGATTGCTCTTGATTAGAGAGATGGGGACAACTCACCATTTTGGCGAGTTGTCCTGTTTCGTGAGTTGTCAAAAGTTGACGACTCATGAAGAACAAAGTTGCCCCTATGAAGCAACAAATAACGAAGTTATTCATTGATTTGTGGGGGTTTATTTTAAAAAAACCACCCCTGCGCCCTTGCTGCCTCACCCCCCCCCCTTAAGGCAGTGGTAAGGGAATTCCCTTAAGGCAGGCTAAGGGAATCCAGGCTGCCCTTTGCAAAGAAAACAGCTACAGCTTCCCTACCTTAAATGAAGCCACAGCTGCCATCTTGCAGCTTCCCTACCCTAAATGAAGGCACAGCCACCATCTTTGCAAAGGGCAGCCAGTCTCACTCCCACTGTGGCTGCAAAGGCCAGATGGAGATAGATGGAGACCTCGGAAGTGGCGATTATGGTAAGGGCATGTCGGCAGGGGTGGGGGGCTAAGGTAGGGAGAGGAAGGGGGTAGGCTGTGGGGGTGAGTAGCTGCCAATCAGCTGATCGGTGGCTGGTAGACAGAATGTTTTTTTAATTATGAAGGACGAATAAAAATGGGAAAATATTCATCAATTCGTATTTGATGCGAAAGAACAACAAAGAATGAAGAAATCATGAAATTCTGAACTATGCCTGGCCCCCTCCATCTCAATCTTCAAGAGGTTGCCTAAAATGGTGCTTTTTACAGAAGCTTTTAATGACATCCTTTGGAACCTGTCATATGTGTCCTCCCCACCTGGCTGCCATTCTTGCTATGCCTATTTTATGCTGTTTTTACTAATTTATTCTGCTCATATTCCTTTTTATTTTTATTATTATTTACCTTTATTGTTATATGACTATTTTTGCTTTATCTGCTTGTTAATCACCTAAAATGGTTAACTCTTGCACTAATTGGTGGTATAAAAGTGGAAGAAATAAATAAAATAAAATAAGAAAAGAAAAGACTGTACCCTGTCCCATTTTTGGTGCAACATGACATGCACAGGCTGTAAACTGTAGTTTCTCCAACTCTCCATTTAGTGCTTTGAGAAACACTCTCACTCTTGCATTCCCAAATATTCAGAATTCTCAAGGAATGTCAAAGTATGAAATACTGGTCCTGCACCTAAATATTTTGATGATGGTTTGTATGGGGAAACATCAACTTACACAGCCTTAACTCACATGCAGTGGAGAGGTTTAAGAAATATTTTATCCTCTAATTATTTTATTACTCTTTTCATTTTAAATAACTATTGAATGTTCTATTTCCATCTTATTCCTAATTCCAGATATGAACCGCTGGAAACATAAAAACTGAGGGGCTCTCACTTTTTTAATGATGAATATATTTTTCGAATTATTCCAGATGGATGTGATGCTTTTAGGAAATACAATGGATACATTTTAAAATATACATCAAACAGTGCCTTTTTAAAAACAATACAGAAGACAAAACTCAATTATTTTCCCACAGTCCAATTCTACCTTAATTTTTTTTTTTACTGTTCAGCTGAACTTAAGAACTTACTCTAAAAACATTTAAAAGCCTCACCTAGAAGGCGTTCATTAAGTATAACAATACGTATTGTTATTATATAGATTACTAAAAAGATCTGGCATGATAATTAATGCTTCCTATTAATGCATGATAGTGCATAATCTTAGGAACTAAAATAGGTACCTTTTGGTTTCTGTGAGAACTTGAATACATGTACTCGGGTCCCTGTGCTTCCAGCATCAAACATGATTCCATAAAAAACTGACTGATCTGTTTGTGATGACTCCCTGTCGAGCTGGTTCTCCAAATCAAGAGCAGCATCTTTTGTTTTAAAGTCCAAATTCCATTTTACATATACAGCATAAATAGCAGCACATGTAAACACTGCAAAAGCGTAGAACAACTTTGGTATCTTCATGGCTTCCCTTAAGTGTTCTTCGTTCACCCCGAATTGGCATTGTCCATGACACCGCTGTATTTAACAGAAATAAAAATAAAAGAACACCAATACAAAATTAAATAAAAATTGACAGAGCTGAAATTATACCCCTGCTTTTTACTGCTTTCTTTCAATATACCATTCCCCAAGATGTTTGAATCTTTTAGAGTTTCTGCTCCATTTACTACCAGAAAGTTTACCTTCAAAAGCACATAGAAAAATATTTTTGCAAAGTATTGTGAAAGCCTGAAGATTAAGTGGAAAATAGTGAGCCAAACATTCCTTGTGCTTTACAGAGGTTAGATTCTGCACAACCTTTGACTTTGGTCATATCAGTGACATAAGAGATTCTTCATTCATCTTCTTTGCATCTTTAATTTTGAAGAACTAGTTTCCATATTTAAAACATCTATAACAAATAGGATGCAGAAGCAGTAGAAAGCAAACACTCATCCATTTTAAAATTATGAAGAGACCCCCCTAAGATAGGTCTTTAATTAAACAGAACAAACTCTATCAAGAATTGTTTCTACAAAGGCACACAAAATGCAGTTGAAATACTGAGATTACGGTACATTTTGCAATCAGGTTCCTGTTCATTTATAAGCATTTTTAAAAGTCCACTTTAAAACAAGGCAAACATAACCAGACTTAGCATTCCTACCCTGTTCCACTGAAAATAAGACCTAACCTGAAAATAAGCCCTAGTATGATTTTTCAGGATGCTCGTAATATAAGTCCTACCCCAAAAATAAACCTGTTAAATGAAACCTCGCCCTCCACCATTGTGCAGCAACAAGATGATGACATGACTGTATTTGAATAAACGTAGATGGTTGTACCTGAAAATAATAAAACATCCCCTGAAAATAAGCCCTAATGCATTTTTGGAGCACAAATTAGTATAATATCCTGTCTTATTTTCAGGGAAACATGGTATTACATAACTGTAAAGCAGTAGGAATCTGCAAGTTACCAACAATCAGAAGTGTCTAAAACTTAATACAATTTTGCAAAAAGAGAGAGAAAAAGAAAACCACCACTGATCCAAAATCTTAGCTTATTGATCTCTCTGACAATATGATGACATGACAAAGAAAATGAGAAATACCTATACTGTTATGCTAATACAATTACGATTATAATGGTGTAGGCCTAGCAAGTCTTCTTTGATGATCAAGCATGGGATCCCTTCAATTTATATTATTTCTTTGGTATGGTGTTTGGGGAGAGGGGTCAGCTATTTTTTTCTGTCCCAGCAACACCAATTAATCTACAACACTCAGATGAGAAGATTCATAACCTGTCCCCTGATTTGCATATATTCCAGTAGCAATCTTATCAGAAGAACAAGATGAACATTGTACAAGAGTCATTTCTTCCGGGTTTATAATAGCCACACATTCCCCAGCAATTATTGGAGCTGTCCTGAGTCACAGAACTTTTTTCTTATCTTACCAGCAAAGAACATTCTATGCTAGTAAGATAGAACAGGGGTACTGTTCCGTTTCTGAGGACACTGGCTTTTTATTGAAATAGCACATGATTAGAACTTCTGGCAAGCTGATCCTTTAGAATTATGATATTTAAATATTAAGCCTGCACCATCTGAGGCAGCCAGGTCAGTAATTAATATGTTTAAAAAGTACACCCCAAGAAAACAAAAATATTTCATTAAGTTATTTGATATTTCTCTGTCGTTTCCCAACTTAACCTGAGCTCTGCTGAAAAGGCAAACAGTATCGTTGTGACCTGGTTGTAAAACAGTTCACTTAAAGTTATAGAAACATCACTTTAACAATTCTGGGAAAGAGACAGGAAAAGATTATTAAAATACTATGTGACAGTCCATTTAAAACTACCCGAAGAAGGTAAAGAACTATATGCTTGACTTGTACAAATGCTTGCCTTTCGGAGGAATGAGTCTGCTCTTGGACAGCATCAGTAGTACTATGTGACAGTCCATTTAAAACTACCCTAAGACGGTAAAGAACTACATATGCTTGACTTGTACAAATGCTTGTCTTTCACAGGAATGAGTCTGCTCTTGATGTGCATGCTAGCAAACGCCCAGCTAAATTGAGATAGAGTTCCTTTACACAGGTTAGCACTACATCAATTATTGCATTTCCCACATCTCTAATCTGAGTATATGATATATACTGCCTAGAATTTTCTGCACTCTGGCTGGATAGCTCATTAGTTTAGATATCTGGCTGCAGAGCCAGCGGTTGGGAGTTTGATTTCCCACTGTGTCTCCTGCAAGTAAAGCCAACCTGTGTGGCCTTGGCCAAGCTGCACAATCCCAGGGCACCCACAGAAAAAGGGAATGGTAAACTACTACTCAGTATTCTTTACCTGGAAACCATTAAAAGAGGTCACCATAAGTCAGAATTGACTTGACAGCATGATTATTATGTTGCACGATGATCTCAGCATTCCAAAAGAAAAGCATGGTTCTTAGCATCGCTTATGGAAATTGCCTCACTTGGAGTGGATAAAATTGAGTGTTTTAGAAGCTTTTAAGAAAGGATGTGAATAGCTTAATCAAAATAATGTTTATGTATAACATTTAAATCTACACTTTTGATTTCTTAAAACTAATTCAAATAAATGATTTTCAAAACCACAATGGCATAAGTTCTATTGCTAGATCCAGTTACAGTAAATCACTAAATCAGTTGTTGAATTGTGATCCAATAACTATGCAACTCCCATGGATTCAGTGGGCCCATTCTGCTTAGGAGTGCCAGTGGGATTCTGGCCAAGGAACTAAAGGTTGTTCTTCTCCACAAACAAGGAACCATGGATAAAATATTTTCCCCTCAACATATCATATGTTTGATACTATGGACTAGAAACATCATCACAGGAACTGAAATTTGGCTTGAGGCACAAAGAAACATCAACCTATATACAGTTACAGAAAATAATTCACAGTGCCTGCTGGGTGAGTTTCTAAATACAGGGGTAAGACATATGAACTGGACTGGACTACAGACCTATGAGACAGAGTGGAGAACTTACTAAATCAAACAGAAGACGTTAGTTTCATAAAAAGGACAATTGACTTTCCTGTTAGAAGAGAGGGCAGAAGATGTTTTTCATCCTGGACTTCTCGGTTGTGAAATATGCAGAAAGATTATAAGACCCTGGTCAACATACAAGACAATGGCACAGTATGGACAAGCTACAGAGCTGAATACTTTCAATAGCTCCATGCCTGATTAGATGATATAACTGTATCATTCAATCCAAGACAACCAGATGCCTTGTTTTCTAAGCAAGAAAGGTGGGGAAATGCACTTTTTATCCTGATTTGCCATCTGCAAATACAGAATCAAATTTCAGTGATAAGCAGGAAAATGCCAAGCAGAATGTAAAAGAATCAGAAGTATTTCTGGGACAGAAGGTGTCTTGACAAAGAAGCGTCAGTGGACAGAAAGGCCGTCAATGTTTTAGCTCAGTTTTTCATGTGATTTTAATTTTTTACTTTTTTTGCAGATTTGTCTATTCTGGGTTTCTGGGTCTTCATTCAGCTTTCTGCCATACAGAAGTTTCAGGTTTTACAATAGGTCAATTTTTCCTGGTTTAAACGTTTGGCCTGTGGACTAGTATGAGTGGACTCTGATCTTGTAGAACACTCTTACTTTCTTCTTTTATTTGTATCATCCTAACTAGAGATGGGGGTATTCGTATAAGAATACCCCCGAACAGCTGGACTTAATGAGGTTCCAGCCCTTGGGGCCAGAACGTCCACTCCTGTGTCTGGCGGTGGCAACAGCCTCACTCATCCTTCCAATCACTCCCGGTGTGCCGCTCTCTTCCCACTCAGCTAGCCGGCTGCCAAGTGGCCAGGCGAGCAGGAAGAGAGCGGCACTCGGGGAGTGACTGGAAAGATCAGCGAGGTTGCCATTGCTGCCGGACGCGTGAGTGGATGGTCCAGCCCCAGGGACCAGACCCTCACACTCCAGTGAGGCTTTGACTCCACTATTTAATTTTACATTTTCCCCCCTAACTTTCCTAGACAAAGTTTCCTCCAAATTCCTCTGACTCTTCCGAAACCTGTTCCTTGGAATGAATTGGTAGCATCTTCTAGTTTGTCATTTTGGAAGCTGCCCTTATCCAGGTGCACATAAAACAAACATACAAATGTATGCTGTGTAAATGCCTAAAGATACTATTACATTTTCAAAATGATCAAAGAGAAGCATAACATGAGCAGATGTACAGCTGCACAAAAACGCTGCACATTCAAGGTTGTGGAAGAAAGAACATTTCAACAGATCCAACAGCGTTCCTTAATTTCTTTTACACATACACAAAACAAGCTGTACCTGCCAAAACGCCTTCTCCCACTGAAATATTAAGAGGTCTTTTGTATCTCACCAAAGTAGGAGGCTCATAGAAACAGGTTTACAGGGGTGGAAGGATCATAGCCCATCACTGCATCAGATGTTGACCCTAGGTCATGCTAGTGAAAGTATCACCAGTTTCTTTTCTTTATTTAGCTTTAAAAGAAGAGGAAGGGGACATGGTCTTTTTGGTAATGGTACCATCTCAGCTGCCATGTTATCCATCTGTCAGGCCACTTCTCTAACAATTTGGAGAAACAAGAGAAAACAAACCAAAAAAGCAAAGTGTGCTGCTTATATATCACCCCATAGTGTTTTAAGCTTTTTCTGGGTGGTTTACAATTTAATTATGCAGGCTACACACTGTCCCCCACCATAGCAAGCCGAGTACTGTATTCAATTTACCGACCTTGAAAGGATAGAAGAATGAGTCAACCTCATGCCAGATATCTAAGCTCATTGGGATCAAATTCAGATTGTGAGCAGAGCCTTGACTGTAGGACTGCAGTCAAACCACTACTTTTCCCTTATGTTTTAAAAAATAATTTTTAATAATGTCAATAATAACCACTTACTGAACAACAAGTGTAAAATAACAAACAAATGTGATTACAAACTTGGATGAACAATTAAACATATCATTCAATGTAAATTCTTTACAGATTTTGCAAATGCATTTTTGTCAAAAGAAATTTCTGAATGTACCTTGTTTTCTATTATCTGTGATTGTTCTAAATAATTCCGTGAACCCTGAGTTATTGCTGCTAAACTATACAAAGGCACACATGTTGCCTTGAAGTGATTGTTCTAAATAATTCCGTGAACCCTTGGAGGGGCTGAGTTATTGCTGCTAAACTATATAAAGGCACACATGTTGCCTTGAAGTAATTCTTAATTATTTGGTCTCTAGAAACATGTATTTCTTGTGTTAACTTTATGAGAACCACTATATTCCAAACGATAGATGGGAATAAATCAAGTCAGCCCTCTTTGAACAATTTCTTTGGCACGGCACCACAGGTCCCTTCTACCCCTGGCTGGCTGGCCCACTCATAATCTGTTGCCCACCACCCAAGTCCTCCTCCTCCTCAGGCAGCTGTCCAGGAGCCTGGGCTTTCCTTCCCTGCCTCCTCCGGCAGCTGAACACTCAGACAAAGAGGCACGACGGGGATACCCACTGCACAGCTGTTGAGCGGTTGGCTGCCAGAGGTGGGGAAGGGAAGCCCAGACTCTTGTTGGACTGGACAGCTGTACAAGGATTGGTGCATGGCGAATTCTGAGTGGGCCAGCTGGCCAGGGGGAAGGAATACACAAATTTCGATGAAGTGGGTGGAATCGATTCACACCTATCTCTATCCCAAACCTAGTAAGCCATTCAGTCATTGTCAAGTGCCTCCCATCCTTCCATTGTCTAGCAATACTTTGCATTGTTGCAACCAACAGAAAGTTAGTAAGATCTTTGTGTATTCAATTCCTATTATTATCTTCATATATATTGAGGAGTTGCTAATAAAGGGTCTGAGTCAGTATTTTGTTTTTTAATATCAGTTATAAGGGTTTTAAAAAATCTTTATGCCAAAATTCTTTTATCCTGGGGCAAAGCCACCACAAATGAAGGTACGATCCCATTTTGGCAGCAGAAAGTACTATATTCCTTGGTGATACATGCTCATTTCAGTGAGGACAACTAACATTTATAAATGAGTTTCAGTGTCATTTCCCTGATATTTGCTGAAGTGGATTTAAGAGATCATTGTGATCATACTCTGTTCCATGTATCTCTTGATGTAGGTTGTAACCCCAGGGTTCCCTAAGTCACACAGTACAGTAATTATTCAGGCTTATTAAAATTTTAAAAACGTTAGAGGCTGCACCTCTAATTGTTTCACTGTAATATATAATTATGTGTTCAAATGGCAATAATGCTTTTAGCTTGTTGTTTGACTCCTCTGATGCTAAGTAATTGCAAGACCTGATAGCTCTGCAGCCATCACCAGTGATCCAGTTGCGATATTTGACTTTGAAAGACCTCTCTGCCCCCCTCCAGGTCTGAGGCTCCCAAAGACTTCCCTAGGGCAAAAGTGAGCCCTAGGGAGCCTTTGGACATAAAGCAGTGGGATAGGAAGCTTCTAATAAGTGTAAATTAAACGTCTGCAGTGCCTGATCCAGCTCATGTTGGCACAAAGTTATGCAACAGAATTGTGCCCATTATGAGACAGCAATATATATATTTTAAAAACCACACACACACAATGAGAACATCTGAAATTGGGCCATCTAATTTAAAGGAGAGACCCAAATTTGATACCACTGAACAATTTCGGATTATGCTAACTACTCTCTCACCCATATACAAAACACATTTTAATCTCATATACATTTAATCTTTCTATTCAGAAGAAAGCCCCACTGAATTCAATAGGACTTACTCCCAAGCCTCCACATAACGAGACTAGTTTTTAAAAGATGCTGTTTTTCACAATGACTGGTTTTAAGATGCATCCTATGTGATTTGAAATAATATGACATCCATAGGGGCAAGGATTTAGTTCCTGATTACGCAAGATGGTTCAATTGTTTTCCTTTTTTTTTGTAAAACACTATCGGGTGCTGCCTTTCCGGATTGCTGCCATGTCATGGCGAAGGGGCTTTAGTAATTCAGAGAAGCTAATGGCTATGCCGTGCAGGGACACCCAAGATGGGCAGGTCATAGTAGAGAATTCTGACTAAATGTGAAGAAAACTCCATGGACAGAAACAAAAGGTGAATCCCTCAGGTCAGAAGGCGTCCAACATGCTACTGAGGAAGAGAGGAGGACAAGTACAAGTAGCTCCAGAGCTAATGAAGTGGTTAAGCCAAAGCCGAAAGGACGCTCAGCTGTGGACGTGCCTGGAAGTGAAAGGAAAGTCCGATGCTGCAAGGAAAAATACTGCATAGGAACTTGGAATGTAAGATCTATGAACCTTGGTAAGCTGGATATGGTCAAACAGGAGATGGCAAGAATCAACACTGACATCCTGGGCATCAGTGAACTAAAATGGACGGGAATGGGCAAATTCAATTCAGACAATTATCATATATATTATTGTGGGCAAGAATCTAGTAGAAGAAATGGAGTGGCCCTCATAGTCAACAAAAGAGTGGGAAAAGCTGTACTTGGATACAATCTCAAAAATGATGGAATGATTTTGATACAAATCCAAGGCAGATCTTTCAACATCACAGTAATCCAAGTTTATGCACCAACCACCGATGCTGAAGAGGCTGAAAAATGACAAATTCTATGAAGACTTACAACACCTTCCAGAACTGACACCAAAGAAAGATGTTCTTCTCATTATAGGGGACTGGAATGTTAAAGTAGGGAGTCAAGAGATAAAAGGAACAACAGGTAAGTTTGAACTTGGTGTTCAAAACGAAGCAGGACAAAGGCTAATAGAGTTCTGTCAAGAGAACAAGCTGGTCATCACAAACACTCTTTTCCAACACACAAGAGGCGATTCTACACATGGACATCAGCAGATGAGCAATACCGAAATCAGATTGTGAAGGTTCGCTAGTCTTTGCCTCCCCCGAACCAAATAAACCAGGCGACGCTTTATATCCAAATAACTTGTCTTCTTTTATTAACTGGGGTATGGGTATTGAAACGTCCAATAAATGCGGAACAAACTTCTCCTGAGGGAGCAACGGCTCTTCGAACGGGTTACTTGACTTCGAAGCCCATGGACCAGCCTGAACGCGCGAGGGTTCCTCGGGTTCGATGTCATCAGGATGGGAGAAATCAACCCTGAGTGCTTACTGGATTCTGCGGGTGACTTAAAGCCAGTCCCTCCTCTCTCTCTCTCTGCCTGATCGACCTCCCCGGGTCGTTATAAGGATCAAGTATGTGAGGGCAAGAGGAGAAGGGGACGACAGAGGAGGAGATGGTTAGACAGTGTCATCGAAGCTACCAACATGAATTTGACCCAACTCCAGGAGGCAGTGGAAGACAGGAGGGCCTGGCATGGTCTGATCCATGGGGTCACGACTTAACGACTAAACAACAACAATAAGGACTCGGGAGTTGCGAGTTCAAGTCCTGTCCGAGCCATGAAATTCTGCGGGTGACTTAAAGCCAGTCCCTCTTCTCTCTCTCTCTCTCTCCGCCTGATCGACCTCCCCGGGTTGTTATAAGGATCAAGTGGTTGGGGAGCAGCACCTGAACTCCCTGAAGAAAAGGCTTGACTGCAAAAGAAAGGCATTGACAACCCATAAAGACGATGGGTTCATTTCGCCCGCCCAAAGCCTATTCTCTCGAACTCAGCGCCGTTCCCTTCCCACGTCCCGCCCCTGCTCTCTCTCGTACCCGGCGCTCTTCCTACACCACCCGCCTTAGACTGCCCCGCTCTCCTCGCCCGAACAGTCCCCGGGCGGTTGCGGCGCTGGCTGGTCGGGCGAGGAGCACCGGGCAGTCTCCGCCGGCCAGGAAGAGAGCCTCCAGTGACCGTCGCACTCACCTCAGCCCGCGGCCCACTGGGAAGCCGCCAAGGCTCCCCAGCGGTTCTCGCCCTGCTTCAGAGGGCGCTCCCTTCTCCATCCGGCTTGCCTGCCAGCTTCCCTCAGGCGGCACAAAAACCTCCCGCATTCCCCGACGGCACGGAGCAGGCCTGGCCGGAGACAGGCCGGAGGAGAGGGCGCATGCGCGCGGCCTGGCCCTCTCGTCGTCGTCGTCGTCTTCTCCCTCCCTCCTCCTC